TATTGTCAAAATTAAAAACATAACTCCCTCCCCAGTGTTTAAAAAATGATTTGATGTGTCTCTTTTGTTTTGCTACCCCACCCCTCCATAAATAATGAACAGTCCCTTAGTGTTTGCAATGTGTCTGTTTAGAACATGGTTGCTTATATTGTGCTGGTTTACAGTTTATCTGAATGATAAAAGCCATTACTTTATCAGATAGATGAACCCAGTAATGTTATGTATTCAGTGTCTGAAAAGGGCTTTAGATAGAAATGTCACATTACACATCTTGAATGAGTTTTTGAGTAATTGCCTTGTTGCTCACAGGTGACCAGTATACATTGCATATTATTTTGAAGTCAACAGAAATTGTAACCAATTTGTTGAGAAGACAATGTTCCTAACTGCAGTGTGTTTGATCCACCTTTCATAAGTTGTCTGTGTACAACACAAAGTGTAATCCAAATGTTAACTGTGTTCAAATCTCAGTATGAAAAACTGTTTTACATCTGCATTAAATTAATTTGGAGGCAGTGTTAATGTGATTGTAAGTGCAGGCAATTCAGTGGCCTAGTAGCTTGTAAACTTAATTGATTACATTTTGGAAGTAATGTTTAGTGTCATGTGAGTAAATTCCATGGTTATCACTGTATACTGTAGCAAAAAGAAGCTGTTGTTTCACTTACTCCATATAGTTTTCTCCATACAGACAAAAGAGCAACACTCAGACACAACATGACACATTAAATAAGAGGTCACAGTGCAGACTGTTTGCTTTAATTTATTAACCAAATACTGTATATGATGAAACTGGCCAGTTCCTAGCTCCATTTTAAATTTTCTAGTTAAAATATTCTAGATAATCTAGGTCTCTCTGGACATTTATATAAAACATGAAGACCTGAAGGGCTAGACAAAATAACATAAACACATCCACTTAAAAGTAACTTTATCACAATTACAAACACTTTCACAATTATGGGTCTTAATAGGTTCAATGGCAGTTAACAGCATTCTGTCAGCTGTAAAGTCTGGCGATTAGCACCTTGATTTGAGTCTTCAAAGCATGATGAGCCAACTAACCATGCTTCAAAGAGGCCAAATCCTTTTGTGTCAATTGCAGGTGCATCTGTTAAAGTCCTGCTGAATTATTTAATATGTGAAGGGAAAAAGTCTCGATAATCATGATGAAACTATAGCTTGACAATCACCATGTAACAAGAGTGCCACAGAGTTAGAAATAACTCTCAGACGGGATGAAATTAACAAATACTGCTAATTGGTATGTTGCCTAAAGGTATATTGAGACAGGGCACGTTAATTTGATCTCTGCATGTCCACGGTATATTTTATGAGTTCATTCGCACAGACTTCACCCGGTAAAAAACTTGGTAGCCTATTAACTTACGTTACATGTCGCGATGGATATTTAGGTAGAGCAGCAGTGAACACACAGAGTGCAGATTTTGGTTTTGGTTGTTTGATAGGCTATATCATAACAAGCTGACATGCCTACTACTACTACTCACCTACTGCGATGACAACGGATTGCGGATAGAAAAACGCGAACAAAAGACGAGTTCTGTGTCTTTAGGCGACTTTATAAAACAATACAATCACAATGCCTGCTCAACATCTTGATGCCATCGTCCTTCGGCGATGGCATCAAGACGACTGAGAAGTTGTACCATGGCGACCTATCACTCAGGCTAGAGTGACTCGTATCCACTGCACTTGTAAATTTAACCAGCAACATTGAAAAAGCTTATTAGGAGTTGGCTGTTCAATTTTCTGGTGAGTAGCCTACGTTTTGTTTGAAGCCTGTTTGTTGCTAGCAAAAATGATCATCCCAGCTAATATCACAGTTGATGTGAATTACAGATGCACCTTGCTAACCAAGCTAGCTAGCGCCACCTTCTCATCAATATATGGTCGTGTCAGGTGCCGCTGCTCGCAAAAAATTAAGATGGAAATGGCCAAACTTCAGGCTTCAATATTTCTCCTGATGGCTGTGGGTATATGAGTGTGTATATCGACTTAAAAATATCGACCAGAATGTAAATTTTCTAATCAACTTGTCTGAGAAATTAAGTAACGTTAATAGTTCTGTGCGTTAAGCAGAACAGCATCAGTTAATTTTCTTCTGCCCTTAGTCAAAGTATTTTCCCATCAGCTGAAACTCACCGCAGGTCTGATAGCTCTAAGGGGGATTAGCTTAGTTTTGAGCTAATCAGCAGTTTGCTGGTCCATTTTGTTTAATACATCAGTGATGTTGAAAGGGAAGACGTCTTCAACATCTCGAGGTTCTTTATTGCGGCCGGAGTGTCGGCCCTGCAAGTGCTTTGATCAATTGGTTTTATTAGCACCTTTGTTGGCACTGCTCTTTACCATTTCTTGCATTTGGGCTTGCTTGTATTCTTTGCCAGCATCCAGTCACAAGTGAAGGGTATTAACCAAACACAGCACAGTAGGGCAGGACTTGTCAAAATCATGGGAAAAAAATTACAGCAGTGTGTGTGTCAACTTGCTGACGGGAGAAGAGATTGTTAGAGAGTGCATTTTCAGTATCAAAACTGCGGAAAATGAGTATTAAAAATTGTTTAAAATATTCACAATCAATATGCAACAAAACATTTATATTTTTGACAACATTAGCATTAAGTAGTTGGCATCTTGCATAGTAGCCAATGCCATCAGTGCATCAATGTGTGTAAGTGGGGAGAATGTGGGTGAACCTGGATTTTGGTGGTTGGACAGTAAGAGGACATTGTTTAGTGGGATTTTAGTGAATAAATCAAACTGAAACTTTGATGGTTAGGGGGGGCATTGCCAAAGCAAATCGCTGCAAGTGGTGCATATACAAAACAGTTTGTAAATGGCTGTGCACTTCTGTTTCCTAATACAAATCTTAGTTGTAAGTTATAGCCCTCCAGAGGATCATAATGAAAGCACCTGAAGAGTATGCTTACTATTGTGCTCTCATAAGGCCATGCTTTTCACATGTCAGCAAGCCATCATTCTGAGCGTAATTAGGATGAAGGTGGATAGAGATATCAATATTGGGCATGCATGCTGTGGGGGTGACAATAAAGCTCAATGAGCAACATGACAATGATAATTGCTTCTTTTATAACACTGCCACTGTAACATGTTTTAATGTATTAAACCAGTTTCTTCCCTCTATTGATATGTAGTGTGATTATGGGTCCAACACGAGGAAATGACAGATATTCCCATTGTGTAATGCAGGAACTTTTGGAAAGTAAAAACACTACATATCAAACAGTCTCTCTTTGTGGCCAGGTCCTCTCTAGTGAAATGGTGTGTTGTACCTGTCAGTTTTCTTCTTTTTTCCAATAGACTTTCATTGTTCATGATATAAAGCACCTGGGGCTAAAGACAGGTATTTGTGTCCTGAGTACAGTTCGACGAGGGAACAGTTTCTGAGCTGCATTACTGAAGCAGAAGACCGTGGCTGTTTCATTGTACAAAACAATAACATTTGTACAAAACCGCCTGAGATAAAACACTTGAGTGTAGAGAAAAATGTTTTTGATCTGGAGTTCAATGACACAACAGAATATAACAACACAATACTATTTAAAGCATTTGTACAATACTGCAGTCCGTGTAACTGTTATTAGCCAAAGAGTATCCTTACCTCAAAAATGTGGCAGTAAAATTAAGTTCAGTAAGGAATTTCAAGATGTTATTAATCTTCATGACACAGTATGTTCTGATATGTCAACAAATATGTAAATGTTATACAGTTAATAGATTTTAAAATGCTTGCTATATAAAACAAATAATGTGTATGTGAAAAAACAATAAGATTCAATTAGTGTTATTGTCTGAGGTTTAAATGACGTGTGCAAACACAGGTTTGTTTGCAAGAGAAGTGAGAGTAGCCAAAGGAAACAGAATAGGAGTCTAGTGGCTCTGTCAGGCTGTGCTTTGAGATAAATTCTAACTTCAGCATGCTAACTTTCTCACTATGACAATGCTAGCTTTGCATGATGTTAAGCAGTTGTAATGTTTACCATGTTCACCATCTTATGTTAGCATGCCAACAACAGATTAGCACTAGACACACAACGTACATCTGAAGATGGGAATGTCATTAGTTTTGCGGGTATTTTGTTGTTTCTTTTTTATTGGTATAAACGAAAGCATTGGATAAATTATTATTATAAATAACAGGCAGCACACTTTGTGCCCCTGGAACTCAAACTAGATTCCATCCATCGTCAACCGCTTATCCTTTGTACAAGGTTGCAGGGGGGCTGGAGCCAATCCCAGCTGACATCGGGCAAAGGCGGGGTACACCCTTGACAGGTCGCAAGTCCATCGCAGGGCTACACATATGCAATCAATCAGTAACACTCACACTCACACCTAAGGACAAGTTAGTTACCAATTAACCTAACCTGCACAACCTTCTTGCTGTGAGGCGACATTGCTAACCCTCTGCACCACCGTGCTGCCCCAAACCATATTCATCTGCCCCAAATATATATACTAAATAATTAAATTAATATCATAAATGTGCAACGACTAGTCGACTAATGACTTAAACTAATGACTACTTGGGCACTATAGAAATATTTAGTCAAGGGCAGCCCTAGTAAGATTAGACATTAAACCCTAGGGGTGCAACGATTCATCAAATCCATGGTTTGGTTCAGACCTCGATTTTTGAGCCACAGTTTGGTTAATAACTTGGATTTGTTGCCCCTGTTTTTATTATAATTATTATTACTACCATCATTATTATTATTTTCCATCTTGGGTTAATTAAACTAGTCTATATACACTGCTACCGTTACATAATGCCTTTCAAAAAATGACCTAAAAGTTCATGACAAAATTAACTGTCTAAACTGTCAAACTAACATTAATCCTTAAAACCACACCTGGACGTTAGTGAGTTGTTTATTGGCTTGTCCTTTGCTCAGTCATAGATGAATTTATTCTGTCATTGATTTAACCACTGACTCGGCTGCTCAATCATTTTGTCAGGAAACATGTCGCTCAGGAGGTGCTTGGACCCTCATCCATCCAAGAATGGTACGTGTATTAAACCATTTTGATCCTGGAAGAGCTCATTTGTCATCCGTATTTAGTTTTGACATGCATGACAACCGTGACAAAACATTGTTTGTCCTGTAAATTAGCAGCCAGTGCTTTAGAAACAAGAACACTTTAAAGGCAAGAGTTCCACAAAGCCTAATCAAGCCGATATGTGTGCAGAAAGAGATCAGGATTTAAATTGAGCCTTTGCTTTTGGGTAGAAAAGGACAGAAAATGAGGACATGGTTATATTGTTTCACTGACAACTTCAGTTTTCAAAAGCATTTGAAGGATGTTGATGTTTATTTTCGCTCAGTATAGCCTTTTTTAATTATCTTTATCAAATATTTATACATGTACTTTGTGAAATTTAAAGCCTGCCACATTGCTGTTCATTCTGTCTAGTCATTTTCTTGCCGCTGGCTGCGTGAGGCCTCAGTAGGGGAGAAGATTCAAATCCAGCAGTTCTACCTACGCTTCAAGAAGGATGAAAATCACTGAAGGCTCCCTGAAATGCTTATCGTGTTTATTCAGTAGTCATTTATTTACACCGCAATGTGTTTAAGTGTTCTTGGTTTGACTCAAGGTTGCTATAATATCTTATCTTATAGGTATTCTAAGCTTTTTTTTGTATGTGCTCATCCATTGATTTACACAAATATAAGTTTAAGAGCGTAAGTGTCTTTCTGTTTACACTTTGGAGAGCATAGACTCACCATAACCTTGTACAACACATAAAGAAAGGTTACACATGAACAATATATACCTAAAAAAGAAACCAGCAAATCAACAAAAACAGCTAATGTTAAGATATTCTGCTTATTTCGTAAAGGTCATTTCACCAGGCAGGTGTGCCTGCTTTCATTTGTGTCCAGAGCATATTTTAAAGATGTCAGGACATTTTGCGGTATAACATTTACCATGTCTCATTTGGTGGGGACATTAGTGAATGCTATAACTGTAAAGGTGGGACAGGTGCAGGAAAGTTATGGTATCAATATAGAAAGTACAAAGAAACAGGAACAACAGTGATAATATTGATAAAACAATACTTTTAGTCACATGGCTGTAGGAAATGGCTGGACCACTTTGGTCCAGACTGAAATACAGCTGAAATGACCTGCTGTCACAAACGTTGCTAGCAGGGTAGCAGGAAAACAAGGGTTTGGACCGAATAGCAGAAATCCGGGGCAAAAACAAGTAGCTGTTTAAATAATTTATTTTACACAGCACTGCAAAATATTACAGAGTGGTGAGACAGGCAAGGGTCATACCAGGTAAAAAGTCCAAAACAGGCAAAGAAATCCAGAAACAGGCTATGTTCAAGGGAAAACACAAAAAATCCAAAACCACTGGGAAGGACTGCTGGAACAGACAACAACAATCTGGCAAAGGGTTTGACAAACTAAATACACTAGTGAGGAGGAGATAACAAAACACAGGTGAACTTTATCAGGCAGGAGCAACCAATCACACAAGCAGGAAGTGAACAGAAACGAGAGAAGTAACAAAGAAAAAGAGGAAACGGGAGAAACCTAATCAAATACAAAGTACGAGCAACCACAAAGACAGGAAGTTAAATACACTAAAACATAAGAGGAAGGAGAATGAATGACTAAATAACACAAAGAAATATATAATACATAGAATGGGGGAGAAAAACAGACATGAATGGAAATACACCAAGACACAAGAGGAAGGCCTACCCAAATAAAAACAAGATACGAAACAAACCCCAAATCCAATCGTATCACCACAGTGCTTATTTACAGCTTCATGTTGCTGCTGGCATGGCTGTAGACTCTGAGTCTTGTGTTAAAACTGCCATCAGTACACACATCAGAGGAAATTGGCTAGTGATGCTCGAACTTTGTGTACAAAAAACAGATTTTGTATTTCAAAAAGTCAAAAGAGCTCTCCTATAACCTACAACTTTCTGGTGTCCAGAAAGCAAACAGCACAAAAATGAACACATCTATTTTTCAATAATTTCTACTAGATATATTTTAATGTTTTCTGTAGCCTGTAAAGAAAACACAGTTGTAATGGCAGGGATACGGCAGTGCACAGATTCAGTTGCCATGGTTACTTTCCATAGAGCGGCTGGTATTTACTCCTTCTGCGCCCCACACACACACACACACACACACACACACACACACACACACACACACACACACACACACACACACACACACACACACACACACACAAAACGCTAAAACGCCATTCTTAACATATTTGGCAGAGAAACATAGAAAGAGACGTGGACACGGTGGATGCGTGGCTTAGCTTTTTTAAAATATAGCAAGCAGTTGCTATATTTCAGCAGCTTGCTATAGCCTTTTATCACTGCTGCTGGTCAAGTTGACAATTAACAGCAGGCCACCAGGAAATCTCCCGGTGCTCACAATGGCCAAAAAAAGTTGTCAAATTTGCAGTTGTACGTGTGCGAATAATTCTAAAAAATGGTCGCAGTCTGGAGCCCTGCGCTGCAGTCTGCCCTTGTCCTTGGCAGTGGTAGCACGTACCAGATGGTGATGGAGGAGGTGAGGATGGACTCAGCGATGGCAGTGTAGAAGTCCAACATCATTGTCTCTGGCAGGTTGAACTTCCTCCGCTGCTGCAGGAAGTACATCCTCTGCTGAGAGATGACTTTATTACAGTCAGTATAGTGAGAGTTTTCTTGAGAGCCAACATCTAGTGATCATTTGGGGATCTACACGTACTTGCTTCAGTATTTTGGCTTGGTGGGTGTCATTAGGTTCTAGCCCTGGATTACATCACAGTGTTGAATTTTCTCATAGTCAACATCTTCAGGTTGTTCTCAGATCACACCTTATGTCCCAGCTCTTGATCCTCTCTGCTTTTCCCACTAGAACTGCACATTTATTTGGGGATGATTGTTCCTCAAAACATAGTCAACTGAGGTTAAAATGTGTGGATTCTGGGAATGCAACTGAGGAGTGTTTCTTCAAATCCACAGAAACTGAAATTCTTTTTTAAAGAAGAAAGCAAGATCACGCAGGGTTTGATGAAGAGACATTATGCAAAAAACTATTCTCCTTAAACTAGATTCAAAATGTTTCATTAAGAGATGAAGATGGCATAGAATAAATACAGGCCTTCTGATTACAGATACAGTTACAGCTACAGTCATATTTGAATTTGTAATGTTAAGTGTACCTGTTATGCTTTCATTTATTTTCTATCATAGATATGTTACAATGTTGGATGTCCACAGCATGCCCATGACTTACAGGGACACACCAATCAACCCGCTAAGACTGTCTAAGTAATTCAACCGCTCTGCTCAGGACTACTCTTCCAGGTTTTTAGGTTGTTTTTTTTTTGGTTGTGAAGTAAAGTTAGAAGGTGTTTTTGATAAACGGATGGCTTTACTTGTTGCTATAGTAGGCTAACTGCTAATCTACTGCTAATTGTAGCTACCATCAGCTAATTAGCTCAGTTAGCTGTACGGCTAGCTGACTCAGCCTGGACTGGGAGCCCGGAGCACAGGCCTGAAAACCCTGCTTGTTCGGGCAGTCCAAAGCTCCTCTGCTAGCAGTAGCGGTTACTTTTAAGCTATCAGTCCATTCAGAGCAGCCACAGGACATCAAAGGGAAACCCAGGAAATATTTCTCCTCAATACAATATGATCCTGTTTCACCAAAATCTGTAAATTAAGTTATAAAAGTTTTGTGTTTTCGTACAGTAATCTAATGTTTTTTTCCCAACCTATTTCTAGACTAATTTGTGGGCTGATAAATTCATCAAATCAGTGCCCCATATCACTAATTTCCAAGCTAAGTAAACATAGCTGTCATATGCACAATGGTATGAGAATGAGGCAGTGGAGGTGGTGCTCATCTCACCAGCCTTGGGAGGTTTCCAGAAGTTGACCAATCAGACGAAAATGGGATTTAAAAAACCTTGTTTCAGACAGAGGATGAACTGAGGCGATATGGTCAAAAATGTTATCAAGATAAAGCATTTCATATCATTCGATATCGATAATGATCATGATAAATGTCAAATCATTATTTCTTTCAAGCTGATTTTTGCTCCTGTGTGATAGTTGTAGAAACCAGATGGTTAACTGTGGTTAAACTCCTCTTTATGGTAAGAACATGACAAACACCCACCAAACAGTCAGAACATTCAAAACAATTAGGATAAAATCTTTTTTCACCAAATAGGCATGAGTAAAACTTTTTTTCACCCCCTTTTCCTCAACAAACATTTATTAAACATTTGTTATATTGTTATTGAGGAAAATTATATTGCGATACTTCATCATTATTGTTTTATTGCCCAGCCCTAACTAAGGGGTTGCCAAGGATCTGAAATGAGTGCGACCATAAGAAAATGATTAAAAATATCGAGGTGAAAATTGTGAAATGAGAGAATTAGATCTTAAATCAAAAGGGCAGAACATTATTGTTAACACTATATTATATAAAATCCAGGTTGTTTAAGTGTATACTTTAGTAAACCATAAAGCCATTTACTATTTTGCTTTGCCGTTTCGGAGCTGAGAGAATCATGTTTTCACCATTTTCCCTTTTCAAATTACTTCACATAGTTTCCCCTGTGATCTGTTTATTCTTGCTAAATTAAAGGGAATAAAAGTCACAAGTAAGACGTTCATTGACTCTGAAAGCCTTGTGAGTCATGATTTCTGCTTTGACATGATAACCAGCAGAGCTGATTGAGGGGGATGACCTTCACAAATGTTTATCCAGGGCTGGTGCTCAGGGCAACCTAATATTGGCATTGGATTATTCCTACGTTCCTAATTAGTGCGCTTGGGCTTTGTATCAGGCAACCTCCATCAAGGAGCATCCATGCAATTATATTTATCACAATTCTAAATCTAAACAGGCTGGTGGACAAAAGGTTGTTTGTTAAGAAAGAATTTGGAAATGGTATTGATCTTCCTGTTGCAAATCCTGCCAACCGGGTGAGTTCTGTTTGTATTGAAACATAATTCTCTGATCTGGACCCCATTTCCCCCTTACTTTCAGTCCAGAATTTTGTTAGACCTACTGCACTTTCAATTTCCTTCAGAGTGTGCCTCTCTTAGTGCTTTCCTCTAGGGCCTGCGCCTTGGAAAGCAAAACTTTCTCTATTTCAGAGTGAGGGTGAGACTTTGGCCAGAATCACCATTATGAGTGATGAAAACTGAGCATTATCCCACACTTCCAGTGTTGCTTTATAAAATAACTCAAGGAATTGCATGGGTGAGTGATAAGCAGCAAGTTAAGATATCAATAAAAGTATTTAGTGTCAATCCTTAAAGGATTGGAACAGGATTTGTTTCAATAAAAGCAGTTTTCCTGCCAAATGAACAGGCCGTTTACGTAATCATGTACAGTACGTTCTGTGAGTTGGAGAATCCAAGCTGACTGGATATTCTCTCTGGAAAAGTCTACTAAGCGAGACCAAACTCATGTAGTGAACAGAGCAGAATCACATATGCTTGACCTTGTGGGGTCATTTTAATGAGGGAAACCTTTGAAGAAGTACACCAGCACTCCAGTATTTCATTAAACTTAATGATTTCCTTTAATTGTGCTTAAAGGTTGAGCAATAACCTGTTTTAATAAATGGGGTGTCTTTAATTTACACCTATTCACAGTGAGACTGGGAAGAGCATGTTGAATCCACTTCTTAAAAGAGAGAAATACAAAAGCTAAAGTGAATGATAATGATGGTAAATGACTAAAATTGTCTCTGCCAAGAGATATTAAGATAATTAAAAAATCAAAAAGCCACACTCAGCCAAACTTAAGTTCGTCAGTTCTCTGTTAATGACTCCCCTTAAGTATATTTTGAAATGAGATTTGGCTGTCTTCTGTACT